GCAATATCCAATCAACGCGACCGACGTGTTAAAGTCGACACGATAAATGTTTTCGCGGAGTTGCTTCGTAAAATTCTTTCGAAATGATTTCTTCGGCCTTGTCATTCGATCATTTTGCCATATATGAGAAGATCGGACCACAAACTCAGGTAAATTTGTTTACCTGATAACCGACGTATTTTAAAGATAACGGGTTGTTAGCGTCCAAAGAAATATAATCTCATTCTTAGCGCAATCCTCTTACACAGAGTGGCTCATGTAAATCTGTACAACTTAATATTCTGAGAACTATGTAATTTTAAAGTTAGCCCCCTGCTTTATCCTCCAGAAGGGGCGAATGGAGGTCACAGTCTTTATATAGAGCTCCTGGGACCTATAAAGTATTAAACTAGAACGATTAAAATTGATCGCCTAGATTTCAGGATATCAAACTGTAAAAAATCAAGTGGGCTATCCTGAAAAAAGCTTCAAAAGGGTTCTCTTAAAACCAAGAGGAACATATTCTAAACACAATATTACTCCTCTTCATTGAGAGAGGAGAGAAATATTCTTTCGGCAAAGATTTCCACTTGGAATATGAGATTACAGGAAATGGCATCTTGCAACTAAACTTCCTCTTTTTGAGTGTTGGAATACTTTCCTTTTGAATTTAGAAGAATCCATTCGAGGTCACAACATCAAAAAATTCAGATGAGATTATATTTTTCTGGATGGTAAGTTAACTCAATTCGTTTCGGATTGATTTATAACAGATCAAGTTTTGAGCAACAATAATCGTCATGATTAACATCGACGTTCATCGGCGGTTGATCGCGTCAGCATTCGCGTAATGGAATTAATGAACGGGAAGCGATACGTCGCCAAACTTCAACGCGACTCGACATTTATGTGAAACAGGAGGTGATATTATTATGTAACCTGAGTTTAATCGACAGCCTCGGGGCTTCGGCCCAATTAGGACGATTGTTCGTCTCACAAGAGCGAGACAGCCGGGGTGTCGATCAGATATTTATCGATACTTTTCCGCGCCGAAGGGCGCGCGCGCGTTGGAGAAAACGTCGTAACTTTCGCGGGAGAGTTTCCAAGTACGTTTTCCCAGCAACGAGCGGAGTCTTTCTCTTGTGTCGACTAAATGACGCGATAAAAAAGAAAGGCGCCAGTGCGAAAAACGGCGGGTGCACAGTCTGCAGGCTGGATCGGGCGACAGCCTTTCCCGTTGGAATTAAGTTCTTTAAATTAATCGCGACTTCTTATAGCCGGCGTAACAGCGATAGCGCGCGTTCACTTAGTTTACGAGTCCCGTATCGTAACGAGTGCTTTCGAGCTGAGGTAACGCCGGCAGGCAAAACGCGATAAAGTAGAGGTAGGCGGGCGAGGAAGTCGCCGAATACGATAGCGGTTTAAGGGGAAATCCCTTTTTCCTCTCGAAGATTAAACGCGGTTAAATCTTCTTTCAGAGGGTGAAAACCTGGGCTCCCATTTCCTCACAGGGTATTGGTTACGGAGTCGTAAATTACGAATCGATTACGCAAATAACTCTCTCGGCATAAATACCTGACACCGCAGGAAAATAACCCAGACGTTTTCGTTGCGACCTTAGAAAACCAGCCGCCGTCTCATTGAGTACTTACCTGAAAAATAAAAAAGAAAATGACGTTAGAAATTTCAATCGAATTAGTAAACAGTTGTGTGTATTAACAGTTTGTATAGAGATGAATAATTCTTTCGGTAATCTTTCCTCTCTTGTATGATTTCATACAATAATCAAACATACAATAATCAAACGCACTCTTTATATTTCTTAGTTCGCAATGAAATTTCACTTCAGAAAATAGAATAATCACTCTGAATCATTCGAGTGATTGTTCATTCATATGAAGTGAATTATTCAATCTGAATCATCGAGTGAATAGTTTCACTCGAAATTCAAGAGTATTGATTTCCCAATTACTTCACTGTCTCAGGGGCATATTTACTTGAATTAATTGAAAAATTCATTCATTTGAAGTCAGAATCCATTCTAAACTTGAGTGAAACATTCGCTCTCGCGATTTCGAGCGAGAGAGTATTTTCACTATTGCTTCGAATAACTACAACTTTTCACTCGTTTTGAGCGAGATTCCACTCCAAGAAATTCTGACGCAACTTGATCTCAACGCAGATTTAATTTCAGTTTTAATTGTCGGCAGATCTCATGTTGACACGTGAAAGCTTGTAACAAGTAAAATGTCAACCCTCAATATTCGAGGAGGAGTACGTGGTCGAAGAGACAAGCGTTACTTCTGGGATATCTTGTGCAACGACAGTATATCCCGAGGATAACGACGGGGATCACGACACGTGGGAGGAAACTTGATCTCGCAGGCAAACCCGCAGAGTGTCCTCGAGCGAGTTGGCACATTGCGAGCCGGCTTCGGCACTTTTGGGCCTCGAATGCAGTCGACGCAGTCGAGAAACTCTCGAGAAGAAAGAAGCGAATCGCGCCGGAAGAAAAGTTGCCACGTTGGCGAGCTGCTGGCTCAGCGATTCGGAGAGCTGCCGACGCCGAGGATATCAACGTGTTGCCACTTATCGGCCATCCCGACACGACACTGACATCTGATCGTCCGCAATCGAAGTATTTGCGAGTGTCGTTTTACATATTCGATATTCCTTCTCGAACGGTGACATTTAATTAAGCGCGATATCGAGTCGTCCTACATCGTGGCACGATAAAAATATTTTAAGTACCGAAGTATAAAAGCCAAAGTGCATGAATATCGTGCGCTCGCAATTTATGATCCTCCACGAATACGCTGTGAAAATGTATTTTGGATTTCCGCAATTCTGCAACAAGCACTGCAATATGTTAAGCGTAACCAGTTATCGGTTTTGGTACAATTTTATTGAATTCATTGCAATTAATAATTTGTTATAGTGTCTTTGGCCTTTTACGACCAACATATCGCGTTCTTTGACCATTTATCTGTGATTATATTTGCGACTCCAGCAGCAATCTGATACAATATGGTTTGACATTTAGTATAAGTGAATTTTTCTGGCAATACTAAGTGTGATGCTTCTTCAGTTTTTGCAAAAAAAAAGAATCTCTCGCTAAAATACGATGCGATAACGGTTAGGACATTCTGTATATTTTGCGTGAGTAAATACGGGGTCGTAAAAATATCCGAAAGAGAGAAAGAAAAGTATTTGTATCGCCCACAGAGACAAGATTCTCAGGACACAATAGTAAAGAACCAGTGGGAAAGGAAGCTCCCATCGATATCGTCAGTTGTTTATCTAAAAGTAAAAGATAACTGTGTCTCACTCTTGTTACTTCTTTGAAGTCGCATTTGCCGTTCTCGCGCGGAAGCGTTATACGGCGGGAAGACAAACGAAGAGAATGTATCGCGCATGAAAATTTGCGCGGAAACGCTAGATAGGTGGGCAGGATTTCTCCGGGATTCCCTTTCCTTCTATCCAGCTTCTTCTGCGGCGTGCAAGATAAAATGTGCTGAAAAATATTCCTCGATCGGTCTACCGCGGGGCTCTTAAAATAAAGTTAAAATAGAGTGTCGAAGTGATACCATTGCATGATGCAACTTGCGGACTTGCTTTTCCTCACGATTTGGCGAGTAACTCGAAGGAAAGCGAAGCAAGGTATATACGGGGGCGTGACCTAAATTTCTGTCGTACATATATACGACAGTACGACAAATCGCGTCGTACGGTGTTCTACGAGGACACTATGTAATTTTTGTATGCTGAGGAGTTAATAACCGCTCTCCGGATTAGAAATCAAGTTTCTCCCACAGGAAGACTCGCGCGAATCTCGCGAAATCATGTTTGGGGTCTCGCGCGGGATGAAATCGATGGAGTGTCGTGCCTTCATTCTCGATTAGAGAGAGACATTTGCATCACTACGTATATAAGTAAAACGACAGCACGCTAGCGGACTAAACGCGGCTATTAACGCTTTCTCTGTGCCACGCGACCAGGAGGCGGTCTCCGCTTTCGACCGTGCTATCTGGAATTTCCCAGCTCACCGGCGTCATAGAGCACTCTGCAACTTCGTGAACTCGATTCCTCGAACAGTCACGATCAACAGCCCCCGCAGAAGCCCTCAGCAGCGCTTCGCTGAACGTGGAAATCCCATCGAACTTCCGCTATTGCGCGCCGAGCGTTCGCAGGGGATTATGATTGAACGTCTCGATATACAGCGACCGAAGAATCCTCGCTCCCATCCGATTCTGTCTCCGGGGCTGGCCCGGTTTCGCGAAAGGTCCCGTTTGTCCGCAATTTCCGCCTACAGCGCGTTCGTATAAACGCCTGCGATGAAGGATATTGCGTTTCGACCGTACCTAATCAAGGTCTCGCTCTCCTTCAGCTTTGAAAGACGATCTTTTTGTCAGACATATCGCGTCGGAGATATTAATTCAACATACAAACAAAAAAGCTCCCAAGTAGACGACTGTTGGATGATTAATGAAAAAGAATAATAGTGAGACTTAATTTCATCTTCGGCTTCATTTCAATTAAGGTCAACTGTCTGAGTTTAGCCGCATCTCTCCGTCTGCATCTCGAGACGCGCGTCTCGAGACACGCATAATTCATAGCGCGTCCTCAGAAGCCGCACGAAAGGCATATTGCCGTGACAGTTCAACACGAGTGGTAGCTTTCCATTATCTCCTATTCAAACACCATTAAATACTTCCGTCGCGTACGGCGCGCTTACGGAAGGTTTCCTAGTTACCTGTGCGGTATCTATCATTACTACAAGGAAAAGTTGGTCAGAGGACATCGTGGCATGAATGATGGAACACATTGGCAAATAGGAGAGATAATACGTTTCGCACGAATGTCCCTCAATCTCACGAACGGGTCGCATGTATGACGTAGGTCGACGGGTCGAGGAGTCGGGCGTGAAAAATTCAGCGCGATGAAGAAAGCGGAACGCGCACGTGGACGTGAGCGAGCGAGCGAGCGAGCGTGCGTGCGTGCGTGTGTTCATCGAGAGGTACCTTCGTCGCCAGAAGTTGAGGAGTTGTCCTCGGGTTCGGGCGACGACCCTGGGGAGCGTCTGCTGAGTCTCGAGTCCGGTCTACCGCACTCGCTGGCACCTCCTCCGTTTCCTCCTCCTCCTCCTCCTCCTCCTCCTCGGTTGGTGTCCTCGTACTGCTGGCGTCCCTTCTCGGGGGACACCGATCGGGACTCCCTGGGATCGACAACGCACGTGCCACGTCGACCCTCCCGCGCCTCGAGCCCGGGCAGTCGCTTACTGAAGTCAGTAGGCATCGCCGGCCGCTTTCTGGGAGTACGTTTACATACGTCGCGTTTTATGCAGTAACAGGGGGCATTCGCGGAGGTTTTTGCTTACGTCGTAAAGTCGCGCTCTGTCACGAGGCCCGAATGAAGAGAGCGACTCGCGAAATGCACGATTTTCACTAGCATGAGACGAACGCGCGTCGCGCGATTTCGTGCTGTTCGGGCCGGGAGAAATCGCACAAAAATATAATTCTACTACTGAAGCAAGCAATCGCTCAATTTACTTCTTTTCTCTTAAATAATGGTTATCTTCAATGAAGAATATTTTCTTGATGGTAGTCTCAAAGTATACTCATCAAATTTAAGAAACGCTCATTATCGTGCACACAAAGAAAAAATTCATTCTCTTTGTAAGAATACCATAAAACTTTATCGAAGCTAAAGTTAATTCGATTCTATTTAAGCAAGTAAACCAAAATTTTGTTTTCATTTTGTATTCTTGATTGAAATGCCAAACTTACTAGGATTTCGAACACGTTTTGAATCAGCTTGATGCTCACGATGCATTTGTAATAAATGTGCGGATACATAAGCTTATGAAATGCTTGAAACGTTTATTTGAACGTAGTATATTTTTCTGTGTGCACTTATTTTAAGTTGACGTTTTGATAATTTCTGACTTGTACAATTTTGAGAGCTTGTCTTTGCAGGAGACGTGTCTCCGATTCGATTACTCCGCGACGCATAAATTATCCAAGACAAGTCGAGACAATTTCACGACGTGAATGATTGACGACGATCGCGAGATTCGGTGCAATCGGCTCGGTCAGCGCCAGGGTTGTAACAGAATCAGCGAGCCGTCTCCGATTTTGCACGCCCACGACTGCTTGCTTGCTTGGGCATAAATATTTATGATTTATCGCGGCACACGTACATATCGAATCGCGCATTTGCACCTCGAAACGTTTCCTAACGCTTCAGATCAGATCCCATATGAAATCGCGATATTACGTCCGCGAGAGATGCGCGTTGTTGATTTTGCACGACGGCGCGTTTAGGCTAATCTCGAGTATCCGATGAAACGGCGACATTGGGCGAACTGAGCCGTATTACGCTTCGCGAGAATGACGCGCTTGTGATCGATCAATTTCCTCTGATGATAGCGTCGAGTCGTAATAGCGAGATCGGTAAATCCCAGGCGAGAGTATCGACCATCGCGACGCTAATCCTCCGCTCGGCTATTGTTCCACGAAAATGACGTCGACCGTCCAATTTTCTGGCTGTCACGTTTTCATTATTTAAGCTACGGCTCAACTGTGGCAATTTGATCGTTATCGAATGTGGGGAAGATGTGTGACAGTTGCGCCAATGATTTTACACAACAACCAAACATTCTGTTAAATGACTCAGATCTGTATTAATAGCCGTCAGTCGAAACTTGCTTCAGACGAAATACGCAGATTTGAATTGAAAGTTATACGTGAGTTTTGAAATGTGCGATCGCAAATGTACACTCAGTTGCATTGATGCTATACCATTCACTAGATTGATAATCGCTAGAAAATTTCAACTACCCGTGTCCGTTTCTAGCTGATCGTTTTTCATGACTGTTGATTCATCAGGCAAGCGGGAATGTGTCAAAACAGAAGTGACATTTTGACAGCTTGACGTTTCTTACATACGTGTTTTTATAAAAAAAATTATCCGCTCACGTGTAACGCGCAATCAGTAGAAGAAGAGTAAAAATGTCAAAAGTAAATAAAAAATATTTTTATGTATTTTTTTATTTAAAATATTTTTTTCTAATACAGTAAAGTAGAATGTTTATTAATATTCTGAAGCGCTTATTAAATAACGAATTGAGAGAAAATAGCGTGAACATATTAAAATAAAATATTAACACGAAAAGCTGTCAAAATGTCACTTCTATTTTGAATTTACATTTACACAGCTGGTCGAAATTTTCCAGTGACTATCGATCTGGTGAATGGTATAGCATTAATGCAACTGTATGTCAGATTATATAATTCAAATAAAAAATTTCATTCAACTCTAAATTCAGATCTTCAGTATTTACATAGGGCAAGCTTCAAATAACGACTATTAATACAACAGGCTTCAACTTCGCGTATACAGGATATCCGACAATTCGCTACGGAGCCGTGGTATACCTGTAAATTAGGTCAAACTGAACGAAAGATTCCTCTAGCATCTTGCGAAATAAGCACATAAAATTTTGAGTTATTAACTAAAAAAAAAAAGAGTGATCACGTGCTATGCAGTATATGAATCATGATGGCAAGATTTGCTGTCTTGTAGACTTGATCAAACTGAAGAAAAAAGTCTGTTTTGTAAATAACATGTAGGTTTTTGCGTTAACGGTTTAAAGAAGATTGGCGGAGGATCGCGTGCAATCTTCCACCAATTCTTTTAAATTAATGACTAAAAAGTCTATGTGTTATTTATAAAATGATAGAGAGCGTTTAGTTTGACTTGATCTATTAGGACCTTAACTTAGTTTCCGCCCGCAAATGTTAGATGGCAATGCAAACAGTTCTAGTAGTCATTACTAACGAAACAGGTAGTTTGTGATTAATTTCGACATTTCTCGATAACATTCAGTCAGCATACACAATTATTTTCCTAAACAACAATTTCTTTTGCTTTGTGAAAAATGGAACGCGATAAAGTGTTTTTTCGACATGTGCTTTTGCACTATTTTGATTTGAAAAAA